AACAGCAACCCTGGATAGTCCTATTTCAACACTACCTTGCTAATGAATGGCAACTCTCGGATCCCGACGCTGTCTGGTACGTGATTCTAATGGAACCCTTCACATCCAAACCCGCAGGTAATAGGTGGACTAGTATACTGAGAAAATGGGGGAAAAGGCTTCCGAACCCCCAACTTCTTAAGAACCCTACCTCCAAGCACGAGATACTCAACACCTGTCTCTTTGAGAACCCTGCAATCCAAGACAGTACCCGACTTCCGTTCTCCGTGGCAAAACATCCTCAGGCTGGCAACTTCGGCTTGAGCTGGATACAGCGGGGAATCTGGCTCATACGCCACATTTGGAATGATTCAGAAGAAGACAGCAGATCAGCTGCAGATGGAAATCGGCATGGGAGTTGAGACCAGCCCTGAAAGGCCTCCACCGTTCACAGGATCACCTCTCTGCTATTATCCAAGCTATTCCAGCCGACTGGATCTCTACCCTCTCTCAACCAGGAATCATCTACAGGGAACAGCAACGGTTCAAATCAACCTCTTCGCGGACCTCCTTCTTTAGAGTGGACAAGGTGGACAAAGATGGCTCGGTGCTCGCCTCAGAATGGAGAATGAAAGATTCCCACCTCGAGCAGATCCAAGAAGCACTGCAAGTCCCAAGAGAAGGCATGGAAGAAATCAGAGTTACGCAGAAGAAATCCTCGAACGGCCCCTCTTCCCTCCAAGTGGTTATGGAAGATACCCCCCACTCAAGGATTGGAAGGTGGACATCTGCAGATATGGCTGGACGGTCTTCGACACCAACGGTTCCCTGTAAACGATCCCTCTCTCGGAATACTCTGCTCAAGCAGGATACAGATTTCACTCAGAGCCCCATTCATTGCAGGCTGGTCTGTCCCTCAATTGGCAACAGAAGACCTCTTCATTGAAGCTCTATCCATATATCTCCCAAATGGCTATTATGGTTTATTCATACTCTTCTATCTACTATAGAAACTAAGGTAGGCGGGCTACAATGGCTCCACCTGCACTCTTGCGTCCCTACCGCTCTGTGGTGTTCTGAAAAAGGTATGGATATTTCCGTTCCCTGTGACATTTGCCCCCACCCTAACCTGGAAGACTGGTTACATCTCTGGTGGGAATGTGTCATTGCTAGGGGCTTCTGGGATATTTCCGTTCCCTGTGACATTTGCCCCCACCCTAAATCAGCTCTGGTTCAGAGCCTACAAAAAACCGATTTTTTTGGATCTGAACTCGGTATTTATGGGCAGAGTGGACTCCAGTTTAGAGAAGCAGCAGGCTGGCAAGATATCATTGATCGTCAGAGCAAGGGCTTTCTGGCACTTATGGCTAGCCAGGAGAGAGAGAAGATTCTTTTTTGGGGCAAGTACCCCTGTGTCACACCTGTAGTTCAGAATGGGCAAAAAAAACACCGTTCGGCAGGTCCCTGTCGTTCCCAGTTCATAAAGGCAAAAAAAACATCTGGCGGCGCTCACGGCATATGGCAAGTTAAAAATGGGCAGTTTTGTCGTTTTCAGGACCCGTTCCTTCCTGGGTACCGGGGCCGTCCGACGTCCGTTTCAGTTGGGATAAAGGGTCGGAGGACAGAGTAGCACCTGCCAGGGGCAAGTCCCACATGCAGAGTAGAGTATCTGGA